CTTGTTTGGTAAATTCTTTCTTTACCATTATATCTGATTATTTGTCTTTATGATATAGAGAGATTTCTCATGCAGTTATGTTTTTCAATTCAAGTATGGTCAGATAGCATGTGGTTAATTGTGGTTCTGTATTTGGGATTTCTGTCTGCTTTCTTATAGTAAGACTTCTGTAGCTTAGTGGAAAATGTTCAAAGGGCTTTTCCCAGCACTACGTCGGTCTTTGTTGTCATTTGGATTCCAAAATGGTAGTATTTGAACTCATTTTACCTTTTGGTCTTCCTGACAGTCTCTGTTACTTCTTCTGATAGATAATCTTTTAACCTGTTTAAGTGTCTCATTGGACCATGATATCTTTCTGTAATTCTTCTTTCCAACTTTCAAAAAGAATTTTCTTGGTAGGTTATGGTAGGAAGTCCTTCTATTTGTTAACTATTAAGATAAATCGACGCGTGTTTGAGTCCCCTTATAGTCAGTTTATTATGTCTTATTGCTCATATGTAGATCAGCTTTATACCTAAAATAAAAGCTAGGTTACTTATAACTTTCTGCAAAATGGCATCCTCCCCATAAATAAATACGGTGCTAGCTGCAGAGTGTTATCTTTTTGCCCTTCTGTTTTTCTGTTGGTCTCCTACTTTAATCTCCATTATGTTAAATTTCCCAAGTTTGTTAGGTTTATGCAGATACAATCATTCCAGATTTGGTTGTATTGACTCAATCTGTTTTGAGAACCAAAAAATAGTTAAATCTTTCTATGAATTGCAGAATGAGCTGTATCCTAAATTAGTTCAGGATGTCCAGTTGATGATAAAAGAGCTTGAAAATGTAACAGTCCTCTGGGAGGAATTATGGCTCAGCACGCTTCAAGATCTTCATGCAGGTAGCTGTTGCTCTTTCATTTAGTCATGAGCTCTTTTTGGTTCTGTGTTTACCTTTTTCTGAATATCAAAATTAAAGGGCTGGGTGCTCATATTTTTCAAGTCCTAAAGGTAAAAGAGAAGTCAAAGCCCACCTCATATAAAAAGCATCAGAAAACTCTGAGCATGAACATTTGTTTTGACAATATTAAGAAGTTACTAAAATTATCTAAGAGAAAGAGAATGATAATTCAAAAAGCATACCTTAAGTTACTTATACAGTGTACAGGTTGAAAAACTTGTGATGTTTAACTTCCTCAATGGACCTTTTCTTTTAGTTTATGATAAATCCAAAAATTAGCATCGTCCGCATTTCTTCATTATGAAATTAACGAACACTCAGTACTTAAATGTTACCGCAGTACATGTTCCAAGTCAATAAGCATTCAATTGGGAAGGGAAGCAGTAAATTTAGTGCAAATTTCTTACCTCTTCTTGTTTGTTTGTTGATATATTTTACCAGATGTAATGAGGCGTATAAATTTGCTGAAAGAGCAGGCTGCACGAATTGCAGAAAACCCGACTCTTAGCCATGGAGAGAAGAACAAGATAAATGCTGCAAAGTACTCAGCCATGATGGCTCCTATTGTTGTTGTCCTAGAGCGTCGTTTTGCTTCTACTTCTCGTAAACCTGAAACCCCTCATGAAATGTGGTTCCATGAGGTTTACAAGGAACAAATAAAATCTGCTATCGGAACTTTCAAAACCCCCCCTGCATCTGCTGCAGCTCTTGGGGATGTTTGGCGACCATTTGATAACATCGCTGCATCCTTGGCATCTTATCAAAGGAAATCCTCAGTATCACTAGGAGAAGTAGCACCACAACTGTCTCTTCTGTCATCATCTGATGTTCCAATGCCTGGTCTTGAGAAGCAGATTACAGTTTCTGAATCCGAAGGGGGACTTAATACTTCTTCCAGTGGAATTGTCACAATTGCTTCGTTCTGTGAACAGGTGGCTATTTTATCTACCAAGACAAAACCTAAAAAGATCGTTATAGTAGGCTCTGATGGGGAGAAGTACACATATCTGTTGAAAGGGCGTGAAGATCTGCGGCTTGATGCCAGAATAATGCAGCTGCTACAAGCAGTTAACAGTTCTCTGCAATCATCATCTGCAGTACAGAGTCGGTCTGTCTGTGTTCGCTTCTACTCTGTCACACCTATTAGTGGTCGAGCTGGTCTCATCCAGTGGGTGGATAATGTAGTAAGTATTTATAGTGTCTTTAAGGCATGGCAGAGTCGGGTCCAGCTGGCAGAACTTTCTGCGCTAGGTGCTAATGCAAAACAGACAGTTCCTCCACCTGTTCCTCGGCCAATGGACATGTTTTATGGTAAGATCATACCTGCACTTAAGGAGAAAGGCATAAGAAGAGTAATATCAAGAAGAGATTGGCCTCATGAAGTTAAACGTAAGGTACTTTTGGATCTGATGAAGGAAGCCCCTAAGCAACTTCTATACCAGGAACTTTGGTGTGCGAGTGAGGGATTCAAAGCATTCAGCTCGAAATTAAAGAGGTAATGTTTTTTTGCTATGTACCTGCAATAGTCTGCTGTAAATGCAATGCATCTGATAATGGATTTCACAGTTTTCTGTTGAAGATTTTCTGCAAAGGGAATTGGTCTATGGTTATCCTAGTGTTCAACTCAAGAAAGGGCTGTAGAATAATCTTTTTGTTCTTGTGAGAGTAATGTTTCATGACAATGCAATTTCCATGTGAGGCTGTCAATGGATCTTGGATCGGTGGCTTATCTATAATGATTGAAAATTATTTGCTTGCAGATATTCAGGTAGTGTAGCAGCCATGAGCATCGTTGGCCACATTCTAGGCCTTGGGGATCGTCATTTGGATAATATTCTTATGGATTTTTGCTCTGGGGATATCGTGCATATCGATTACAATGTCTGCTTTGATAAAGGGCAAAGATTAAAGATCCCAGAAATAGTGCCTTTCCGCCTGACCCAGACAATTGAAGCAGCTCTAGGTTTAACTGGCATAGAGGGTACATTCAGAGCTAATTGTGAAGCTGTTCTTGGTGTTCTAAAGAAGAACAAGGACATAATCTTGATGTTACTTGAGGTCTTTGTGTGGGATCCTCTAGTGGAATGGACACGTGGAGACTTCCATGATGATGCAGCAATTTTTGGGGAGGAAAGGAAGGGGATGGATCTTGCTGTCAGCTTGAGTCTATTTGCCTCCCGCATGCAAGAAATTCGTATTCCCCTGCAGGTACTATCAGCAATAACTGCATTTCTTATTGTTGCTGTAATCTTCTAACCAATGTTGAAAGAAATCCGTAGTGAATCCATTGGGTCCTGGTGCTTCATGTTAGGCACAACTCTGGACCGCTTCCCATAGTTCCTTTTCCACTATCTCCCTCCACTATTGCCCTTTTAACCTCTTCCTCGCAGTATATTGATTCCCCAATTCTGTTATCTCTACAAAGTTTCTCCTCCTATTTGTTGCCGCTAGTCGATGAAAAGCTGTCTGTTCACAGCCCCTTCTTTTAGCCATTGCAACTCTACGTTCTGTTCAACTAGTTTCTTGAGCCGTTGCCCTTTAATCTCTCCCTTCCTTGTTTTTTCTCCCTCCCTGAATTCCCTCTCCCCTTCCCATCTAATTCCACCAGCGCGTTCATCAGTTCCCTCATGATCTGTACCATCCTCAAAACTTCCTTGTTCGTGCCGTTAGCTCCTTTGCTAGTCGAGATGATGGGTGGCATTGCGCTTGATAATTTGTCTTTTTTTTTTTGGGAGAGCCTAACTGTGTCTCCAACATTTGCGGCTCAACCACATAATCCCGAAGTTAAGCGGTGTTGGAATACTCCTCATCCTGCTACAGTCCAACAAAATGGGCAAGTGATCTGAATTAGGCTTTGCAGGAGAATCTAGATTGTATTCGAGTCAATTTCCTCCAGAACGGTGGATGTTAGGAATATGTCAAGCCTAGATGTTGACCTGGAATGTTCCGCTCTCCACCATGTGAACTTTGCACCTGTCATAAGGAAGATAAATGAGCAAGTTATCATTAATGAGCCCCGAGAACTCCTCAATTGCTCAGTGAAAGTTGTACTATCTTCCAGAAATCTTGTTGTGTCGTTGTCTCTTCCTACCACCCAAGGAAAATACCACCCTACCATGAATCTAGAGATTTCCTCCCAAAACTCCCTCTTAGGAGTTAGGACTCTCCCAAGCCCCCGATCCACATTACCCCCTAAGCTTCTAAATCAAGATGCTAATGTTAATACGAACTTCTAAATTTTGCTCCCAACAAATTTTCTTTTTGTAAATTTTTTTCCAAGTTAGCTCATTCTCAAAAAAATAAAAATCCCAAGTTAGCTGTGTTATTTCAAAGGAAGTGAGTATTTCATGTTACATGTTTTCTTTTTTCAATAGATATTACAAATACACAAAGCTGTGAAAAGAACTTTGAGATTTTCAATGAACTTTCATTAATTTGTATATTCTATTGTTAGATTATTTAGCCAAAATATTGGTAAAAGACAAAAATAATAGTATTAAGGAAACCTCTTTGGGCACTCAAAGTAAGGTTTGGTTGTGCTCATTTTTTATTCTCTTTTAGCCATATTCATTTTTTTTGTGCTTTAATTTAACCTAATGACGATATGTTTCCCCAATGTTGTCTTATTTTGAATCCAGGACTTGTAGCTACTTTCTTTTGCCGGTGTTAGAGTTGAATGGAAAGATTTAGTTCTCATCCAGGCAACTACCTATTTATGTCAATAACTAAGGTGCTGCATAGATAATTAATAAATAAAATATTCAAAGTTAAAAAAAAAAGAGAGAGAGAAAATCAATGATGAATGTTCTTCTGTTTGTTTTTTCTCTTTTGAGGAATGGTAAGATTTTGTATTCGATGTAGCACTAAGAGATTACAGAAAATTCTGTACAATGTGATAGAGGCCATTCGTCTGTTTCTTTTTAATGGATGAGTAATGCCAAGAATCCAGATTTGAGAGAGCAATAATATTCCGAATAGAGAACCACTAAGAGAAAGAGTTAATACCCTAAAATCCCCCTAAACTATCATGTTTTTGAAGTTTCCTGCTTAAACTATTCGGTGTCCCCAAAACCCCCTGAACTATATTGCCCTTCATATTAAAAACCCATCATTGCATTCTTAGAGGTGCGTGCAGTACACGCTCCTAATTATTTAAAAAACGTGCCACGTAGCACTACACATGGCTATTTAACTCAGCCTAAAACCCGCCTAAACTATCATTTTTTTGTCAGTTATCTACTTAAACTATCTGGTGTCCCTAAAACCCTCGAACTATATTCCCCTATATATTAAAACCCCATGTTGGACTTTTAAAGGTGCGTCTGTCCAACTATATTAACTTATGGTTTGTAAATTTTTTTTTAAATAGTTTACTCATGATGTATTACTCTCGAATGATTGATTAATTTTAGTAGTTTTGGCCAAAATAATGTTTAAAGTATTGTTTTAATTTTAGGTTTAATTGTGATTGTGCTTTGTGCTAAAATCCAATTGAATAAGTCCTTATTTATATTCACTTTTTAGCACAATAAAAATATAAATAAAGGCATATATTGTTGCATTTCGTAAAAATCATCTTATATTACATAAAAAAGATTACACAAAATAAAATTTCGCAAATAAAAAATCAATTGGCCAACAATTACATTCTCTAATTCTAGATTACATAAAGAAGGTTCAAGATATTCAACTTTATTCTCTACAAGGTGTTGAGTTTAATAAGAAGATTTAAATTGGTATTCTTTCAACAATATGTGTAAGACATGAAAGAAGACTAAAACAAGAAAGAGAATAAATCATTTCAAAGGAAACAAGAGAGGGAGAAATTTTTCCAGAGGAAACCCATATGGAGAACTAAAGAAAAAATGTTAAAAAATGAAGAAGGTGAAAAATAAAGAAGAAAGGTAAAAAAAAAGAGGAAGAATGGTGAAAAAATGAAAAAGAAAGGTGGATATAACTGAAATAAGGAGAATATTTATTTAAAAAACAAATGTGAAAGAAGGTTAGGCTAATTAGCCATTATTTTCTGACATATGAGCCATTTTGATGGCTGTTTTCGACTGCCACGCGCTCCCTAGCGAGTGTTTTCACACGTTATGCCAGGTTAGCAATGAAGGGGTTCTAATATGAAGGACAATATAGTTGAGGGAGGTTTTGGGGACACCGAATAGTTTAAGTAGGAAACTGACAAAAATATAATAGTTTAAGGGGGTTTTAGAGTATTAATTAAAGAGTAAATATTTAATGAGGTAAACAATTTGTCAAAAGGAAAAAAGAAAATCTGAAGTTTTCATATTCTTGCGAAACAGGTCATCGATGTTTTGGTGGAGGTCAGATAAGAAAAGCGGAAACTGATTACATAAGAGTTTCATATTTTACATTTTTTAATCAAGGAACTGCCGGTATTTTAATTTGAGTGTTACAGTTAGATTAAATGATTTGGTTTCTCTTCCATACAATAATCTATATTTCTTCTAAATTCGTGTTGTATGAAATAAGTAAACTAAAAATGATCAATTAACGAAGTATAGATTTAAGTGATGTGTGTTCTTTTTTTTTTTTTAATGGATAGGTAATGAAAATAATCAATATTTGAAAGACAGCAATACATATTCCAGGTAAAGAGATAAACCAATAAAAGATTAATACATTGAATACTCGATGAACTAAACATATTATCAAAGGAAAAGAAAAAGCTTCCACCTTTTTGTACTCTTTTTCTTGCTATAGAGATTTTGGATGGTTTTTGTGAATCTGTTAAATTATTCAATTTGTTAGATAGGAATTTTGGAATTTAATCACATAAGAATTCCATGTTTTACCCTGTATCTTGGATATTTTATTTTTAAATTTAAAATACGTCAATGTTTATGTCTTGATATTATGCAGAACGCCCAAAATGTAGAACATTTGATATACATAATGTTGATTTAACTGCAGTATCATTTTTTGCCTTCTCATTATAACAGTAATAGTGAGGCAAATTGTAAACAGATGCAAGATCTAGCATTCAGAGTGTTACTTGAATCTGTTTGTTAAATGAATGATTTTTCTTCTGTTTTCTTTATCTAGGAGCATCATGATCTTCTACTGTCTACCTTACCAGCTGTTGAATCTGGTCTTGAGGTATGCAGTCAGCTTCCCTTGGCAGGTGATGACATTTAGTTCCTAGTTAAAATGAACTCAGTTTAATTATTTTATACTGATGTGCAGAGATTTATAAACATCATGAATCAGTACGAAGTTATCTCTGCTCTTTACCGTCATTCTGACCAAGAGAGATCTAACCTTGTTCAAAATGAGACATCTGCGAAGTCACTTGTTGCTGAAGCTACTTCTGCTTCAGAGAAAATCCGGGCTTCTCTTGAAAGGCAGGCTCGAGAATTGGCACAAGCTCAAGCTGTGGTAATGGAGAAAGCTCAAGAAGCAACAACTTGGATTGAACAGCATGGGAGGGCCCTTGATGCTCTAAGAAGCAGTTCCATCCCAGATATCAGTGCATGCATAAAGCTGAGTGGTAAAGAAGAATCTCTATCTCTTGTATCTGCTGTTCTAGTTGCCAGGGTTCCTTTGACCGTTGTCCCTGAACCAACTCAAGCTCAGTGCAATGATATAGATAGAGAAGTTTCTCACTTAGTTACTGAGCTGGATCATGGACTTTCTTCAGCAATATCAACTATCCAATCGTATTCTTTGGCTTTGCAAAGGATCTTGCCAATCAACTACCACACCTCCAGTCCGATCCATGGTTGGGCTCAAGTTCTTCAGCTTGCTATGAATACGCTGTCTTCTGACATTTTATCACTCAGCCGAAGACAGGCTGCTGAACTTATTGGAAAGGCACATGCTGATGGTATGGATTCTTTTAAGAATAGATATGATGATCTTTGCCTGAAAGTGGGTCAGTACGCAGCAGAAATAGAGAGAATGGAAGAAGAGTGTGCAGAGCTCGTTCACTCAATTGGGCCTGAGAGTGAATTAAGAGCTAAAAATAGTCTCCTATCTGCTTTCATGAACTACATGGAGTCTGCTGGTCTTGAGAGGAAGGAGGATGCTGGTCAGTCAGGATCTTCAGATCCCGGAGGCTCACAGGATGGTGGTTGGCACGGAAACTTTCAAGAGACCAAGGAAAAAGTTCTATCAGTTTTAAAAGCAGCTTCTAGTTCTCTATATGATGATGTTAAGCACAAAATACTCGAAAAGTTGAGTCATTTCACTAGGAGAAGACACACAGACATAATGTTGTGCTCTGATCTTGGAACCTTTTTCTCTGAGTTTGAGGAGCAAGTGGAAAAATGCATGCTTGTAGCAAAGTTTCTGAATGAACTTATGCAGTATGTCAGCATGGATTATAGGAGTATTGACACTTCTGAATCTTTATCTGATAGTAATTGGACTTCAAATTTCAAAGCCAGTCTGTTTTCCTGTAAAAACTTGGTGGGCCAAATGGTTGAAGTTGTCCTTCCAGAGGTCATCAGATCAGTAATTTTGTTCAATACGGAAGTTATGGATGTGTTTGCATCACTCTCGCAAATCAGGAGATCTATAGATACAGCATTAGAGCAGCTTATTGAGGTGGAAATGGAGAGGGCTTCTTTGGCTGAGCTTGAACAGAATTACTTTGTTAAGGTTGGTCTCATCACTGAGCAGCAGTTGGCTCTTGAAGAAGCTGCTGTTAAGGGTAGAGACCACTTATCTTGGGAAGAGGCCGAGGAATTAGCCTCTCAAGAAGAAGCATGTAGAGCACAACTTGACAAGCTCCACCAAAGTTGGAACCAGAAGGACATGCGAACTTCATCTCTTATACAGAAAGAAGCAACCATTAGAAGTTCTCTGGTTTCTTTAGAACAGAATCTGCAATCTATGATCACTCATGAACATGATAAGGAACTACATCTTTTCAGAAGCAGAGCTCTTCTGGCTGCACTAATGCAGCCCTTCTCTGAGTTGGAGGCAGTTGATCGAGAATTGTCATTGCTTGGGGCACCTGTTGAATATGGTTCAACTGGGATTTCTCACCTAAAGAATTTATTTAATTCAGGATGCCCGCTATCTGAATATATTTGGAAATTTCCTGCCATATGGAGCAATCATGCATTTTTTGTGTGGAAGGTTTATATAGTCGACTCTTTTCTTGATTCCTGTACACAAAATATAGCTTTACAAGCTGATCAAAGTTTGGGATTTGATCAGCTTGTAAATATAGTGAAGAAAAAACTTGAAGTCCAGCTTCAAGAAAATGTTGAGCAGTACTTGAAAGAGAAAGTTGCACCTGTTTTAATAACAAGATTAGAGAAAGAAAGTGAATTTTTGAAGCAAGAGACAGAGTCAACAGAAGATCTTACTTGTGATCAAGGGAATAATAACTTTGCAGCTGTAAGAGATGTGCGAGTCATGCTTGAGGAGTACTGCAATGCACATGAAACTGTCAGAGCAGCAAAATCAGCTGCTTCCCTCATGAAGAGGCAGGTGAGTGAGTTGAAGGAGGCTTTTCTTAAGACCAGCTTCGAAATTGTTCAGATTGAATGGATGCATGATAGAAATGCTAGTCTGTTGCAAAGAAGAAGGCTGATATCTCATAAGTATCTTTCAAGTGATGCCAGACTTCTTCCAGTTCTTCTAAACATCAGCAGACCTCAATTGCTTGAGAATTTTCAATCTTCCATTGCAAAAATAGCTAGATCGCTGGAAGGCCTGCAAGCCTGCGAGAGAACTTCTGTCACAGCAGAAGGGCAGCTTGAGAGAGCTATGAGCTGGGCTTGTGGAGGTGCAAGCTCAACTTCTGCTGGAAGTACTGTGGCAAGGAATCCAGGAATACCTCAGGAATTCCATGATCATCTAATGAGGCGCCAACAGTTATTATGTGAAGCTCGAGAAAAGGCATCAGATGTGATGAAACTTTGCATCTCAGTATTGGAGTTTGAATTATCGAGAGACGGCTTTTTCCAGACTTCAGAAGAATTTTATCCATCGAGGAGCATTGCAGATGGCAGGACCTGGCAGCAAGCTTACGTAAATGCTCTGACAAACTTGGACGTTACTTTTCATTCCTTTACGCGTAAGTCTCAAATCTATATGTTCTCTCTTCTAAAAATGAAAAAGGTGCATTGCTAGTGGTATTGCATGCTTCTCATTGGCAAATATCATCTTTTTGTATTTTATGCATCAGGTACTGAACAAGAATGGAAACTTGCACAGAGCAACATGGAGGCTGCTTCAAGTGGTTTATTCTCTGCAACTAACGAACTCTGTGTTGCATCTGCTAAAGCTAAGTCAGCATCAGGTAACATGATTTTATGATACTGATGTTCAGTGGCTATCTAAAATCTTAAGCTGTCAAAATGGGGATAGATCTAGCTCTTTTACTTGATTGTCTACTTTTAACCTTATGTGCTGCTGGGGTTCTTTCATTAGTTGGACCAAGCATGTGAAACTACAGTGACAATTGGTCAATGTGAAATTGAAACTTTGAAACTTTTCTCTGTTCTAAACAAGAGAGGTGGAGTTTCGGCCTACCATAAGATGAACTAGTCGTTGCGTGATTTTATATACTAAATTCCAGTATATATATATTCAACTAAACCACTCGATCTCAACATGTTTTTAAAAATAAAAAAATTTAAGTAGCTTGTATAAAAGGAGAAATTGCCTAGCACCAAGCTGGTGCTGAGTCTCTACAAGTATCAGGAGGCCTTCCAAACAAAACAAAAAGAAAGGAGTTCTGCATTGTCAAACCTATGCTTGCAGGGAATCAATAAAATCTGACATACAATCTTCGTTCCTTACATCGTGAAGATTACACCAAAAAGCAAAAAGACCTAAACAATTGGATCTAAGCTGCTGTACACTAAATGACTTTCCTTCAAAACATTTGCCATTTCTTCCTTTCCATATACTCCCGCATATGCAAGCAGGGATGGTGCTCCAAATCTTCTTAAGTTGTTTGCTGATGCCTCTGGAGTTCCAACAAAACAATAGTTCTTTGATAGTAAGTGGCATCACATTGGAAATCTTGGAAAGATCAAAAAAGAGAGACAACAACAAAACAATAGTTCTTTGCATTGCCCAATTTCATCATCTTTTAACCTATAACATGAAAGGAAAGCATTACTTGTCTGTAGTCATGGCACGTGGTTCTCTTTTATGACTTGGTTAACTAGTGTGATAATGCATAGGTTCTTTAGTATTTTATTTTTTAATGAATAACTGGAGCAAGGATGTTTTTAAATTTGTCTTTCCCGTATTTTCTCAATGCCGTCGACTTTTCTCTTCCCCAAGGTGATCTGCAAAGCACTCTGCTTGCGATGAGGGATTGTTCCTATGAATTAAGTGTGGCACTATCTGCATTTGGGGGCATTACAAGGGGGCGTACTGCTTTGACATCTGAGTGTGGTTCGATGCTCGAAGAGGTAGGATGCTCACAGCTAATTAACGTTCTTATGCAGATTCATGTATGTCAGTGCTTTTAATCAAATTGTGCCCGAATTGGCTTGGTTCAGCTACATGAATATTTGATTCCATCTGCTAAGCGTATTCTCCTAAGCTGCATGCATCCTTAATTCCACCTGTGTAGCTTATTCTCATAATTCAGCAGCAAGAGTTAGATTTGAATCCACCAAGAAAATGAATAGGTAGAAATATCATAGACCAAGGGCTGGATCTCTATGGGAAGTTTCAGTAAGTAATTCTAGAAATATGAAGATTAAAATTTGTAAAAGCACAGAATAATTTCAGACAAGTCCAAACTAAGCTAGGTGTCTCGCCTTTTACAACATTGGACGTGGCTTTTGCTGGATTTCTCCTTCAAAATGTATGTCTGGTCATACAATAAGATTCCTAGATTCCTTTACCTTGCCATAATGTTGTTATTCTGTTATAGAGTCCTAGATGTCACTCTTGATGTGAATCATGGTCAAGCTTTCTCTAGGTTGACCTTTGACCTTGACTCTCATTGATTTCTTGAAGTGTTATTGAGCATATTTATAAATTATATATCTTGGGCAAGTGTGCATAAAGGAGGCATTTTATATTAGAAGCATCACCTTAAGTGCTGTAATAATTATTCATCAACAAAGGTTTAACGAGTTTTTGTGACTGCAGTATCCAGATATAAACACATAACGAAAATGAGTAATTCTTTTTAGTTGTTGATATTTTTTCCTTTTCCAAAGGTTCTGGCGGTAACAGAAGGTGTGCATGATGTTCACAGTATAGCAAAAGAGGCAACTGCTTTGCACTCGTCTCTCATGGAAGATCTATCAAAGGTTTCATTTTTCTTATTTTCCTCTACTCTCATTTGTTTCGCTTCCTTTCTTATCTTAATTGGGTGAGGTGGAGAGGTGGGAGCAGGAGGCAGTTGTAGCAGCAGAGGCAGATTGTAGTTATACTTTTTTGTTTTATACTTGTCCTTATTCCGAGCAGGCACATTCTGATACTGCATCTTCTAACAGTGTTAGGTGTCATTTATACTTTGTGGTCTGTCACATAGAAAAAAGTGAGGCAAAATAAAATTGTAAAGCGACAGAGCAATAGAAATGGATGATGTTTCCTTTGTCTGTTCCTTTCCCTATTCATATTATTTTTCCTTCTTAATTTACTCGTCTTTTCCTACAGTTTCAGTCCATAACTCCATATAATGGGGAGGTGGCAATGTAATCTAACACTCATTACCATAAAAAAGATTACTCCTATTTTCTTATCGGGGGAATGGGGAGTCTAGGCAGGTGGTGATACTAGAGAGATGATTTCATGGTCTCATTCGAGTGGCAAATTTTTCCAAGGTTCCTTCTCATTATACCACTTATTTTATTTTCTTGATGGACAGGCAAATGGCATCCTACTTCCACTTGAATCTTTATTATGTAAGGATGTTGCTACCATGACTGAAGCTATGACAAAGGAAAGAGAGGCAACTAAGGAAATATCTCCTGTTCATGGACAAGCTATATTCCAGTCTTATCATGTTAAAGTTGAAAAAACTTATGAAGTTTTTAAGCCCTTGGTTCAATCTCTCACAATCTCTGTCGAGGGACTTTATTCAATGTTGACCAGGCTAGCCCAATCCGCAAGTCTGCATGCAGGAAATCTTCATAAGGTTGTAAAGAGAATAAACATGCATTTTGCAGATGCTCTTTCTAAGATTCTAATAAGTTGTTATTTGATTTAGGCACTTGAGGGGTTAGGAGAAAGCCAGGAAGCAAGGTCAGAGGATCTCAATTCCTATAGGCCAGATCTTGCTGATCAATATGAAGGCAAGAATGAAATCTTCTCCCAATCAGACAGAAAAAGCAGCACAGATTTTCTTGATGTTAGTGGACTGTCTTTGCAAGATAAGGGATGGATATCTCCCCCTGATAGCATGACCAGTAGCAGCTCAGAGTCTGCAGCTACATCATCTCAAGTTAGTCTTGCCAATAGTTCCAATGGCCCAGACTTGACCGATCCAATTACTCCACATTGTTTTGATGACACAGAAAGAAGAGAATACTCACATAATGTTTCCTCAGTTGGAAGTGCACTTCCAGGATTGCCACAGCCGGAATCTGAAAAGACACAGGTTTGTGTCTTTAGTTGCACGATGCGACAGTCTGATTTTTTCCAATTATTGACACTCTTATTGTTTGGATCAGGAGACGTTTGAGATGAAACTTTTGCTTGGAAATGAAGAACCTTTGTCAAGCAAAGACAAGGTTGAGGAGGCTGCTCATGAAACTTCATTTATCAATATAGAGGCTGCAAGCAGAACAACCAGAGGTGAGGATTTATCAACAGTTTCTGTCCAATTATTACTGAATGTTCATAATGTCTAAACTTGACCTTTTAGGTTCATGTGGTTAAATTTCCTGATAGTTAAAAACTCAAGACTTCTGTGGCATAGTCAAACAACACCATTGTCCTGTCATGAGGAAATAAGTTTACAACATTTTGTCGAGTAGTTACCAGCCTCGAGGAGTGGGTTATATACTTGTTTCATACTAGTTGTCTAGTTCCAACAGCTGATTGCAATTTCTTGATTAGCCATTTACCTCTTTTAGAGGGCTCTACATGTTAGTTCAAGGTTTTCACCTTTGGACTAGTAGTAGCAAGAACTTCTTAAGAAGACTGGAAGTTCCTCTTTTCCTATTAAGCCGGCGAATTATTCACTTCCCAGACATGCCTTTCTAGCCATTAATTCTCTATTTGGGTCTTAAAAGTTGTGGCTGCCTGAATTGAAATTCTGGGGCATGATTTTCCTG